CACGGGAGCGGGCCAACATGTGTGCACGAATGCGAGCTCCGTAGTCGAGCGACGTATACTAGTGCCTTTTCCAGTAAATAAACCGTGGAGGATTCTCCAACAAGATGCGTAGATGGTATCCAGAGCCCGGATAGAAGTGTGCGGCGCTGTGGGCAACTGCGTGTGTGCGTGTGTGCGTGTGTGTTTCATCTGAGCCGCGATATGAGAACCTGATGCCTGAGTTGTATCGATGTGAGCTCCGTGAAAAGCTTTTCCGATGGAGTGTACGACCTGTGATGTACGGCGGTGGTTGTACGGCGTGGGTACGGCATATGGATTGGCACCGGCAGGAGTGATGTTTAAGAAGTTGCGTATTAAATTTTATCAACAGGGAGCTACAACAAGAGGGAAACAAAAGAACCTTCCTTTTGTTTCGTACCGGTCGTACCAGTCGTACCTGAATCCCTCGGCGTCCTCTTCTACAAGTCCGCCGCACACCATGTAGCAATCTGCGTTCGACGAAAGCGGAAAGAAGCAATTTAGGTCAGCTTCCAGATTAAGCAGCGTTTGCGACAGTTTTCCAAAGACGAGGATATGAAAAAGATGGTTTGGTACAGGTATCAAAAGCTATGAAAAAAGGATCGAACAGGAGAGCGCCTATCGAACACACAAGATAGGATACACCTGGTCTGGAATGTAACACAGTCACGCTTCTCGGCAGCCGTTCCGCCAAATTATGCAAAAACGGCATCGCCTCAGTCCCGTACACTTCCGTACTATGATATGTACGACGATGCCGTACAATGCAGTACCTCCGATGGTCTCGACCTTGTAAACTTGATGCTTCTCCACCAGCTGGTCAAAAGTGGTGAAGAGGTCGTTGAGGAACGCCATGACTCGGTGGGGCGGAACCTGACCACACATGCTGGTGAAGGAGGCGATGTCTGTGTACGGCACATAGAGAATTCGAACCATCATCACGTAAATTACACGTGCACATGGGGTAGGAAGAGACTAATGAAGACACAACTTTACGAGTATAACAAAATATTAAAAAAATCAAAAACTTCAAGCATCCATTATAATAAAAAGGTAAGCAGCTCATGGTGACAGTGTATTTTGTATATTATGTAAGCGAGGGACCGTGCGTCAGTTACGGTAAAGTACGGCAAACCGTTGTCGTCAGTTGAAACCGTTGTCGTAATACCCCGGGCGCTATGTCGAACCACCGCCACACACAGTTCAAACACACCCCACCGGCAACCCACCTGCGAACAGCACCGTCACCTCCTCATGCGCTCTCGCCATGTACTGCTGTGCGCCGCTCAAGGCTCCGAAACCACCACACGAGGGCGTGGAGGGTGAGGTGACGCTGTGACTGTGGCTGTAGCTGGAGCCCAATGCTGATTGCGCGTTGGGGAGCTGTAGCGGGCGGACAGGTGGCGGCGGCGATGGGAGGGTGGTGGCGACGGGGGCCGCTGTGGCGGCCGCCTCCGTTGCGTCGCCGCAGAGGCCCGGCGGCGCTGGGGCGCATGCGGCGGCGGCGGCGGCGGCAGTAGCAGCAGCGGCGGCGGTGACGGCGCCGCAGCTGTCAAAGCCGCAAGGCTCTGCGATGTTATCACCGNTCGCATGAGTTGATGACTGAAGCAGCCGAAGCTTGTACGATCGTCGCAACTGTCGTACACTCCATGGGCTGTGCAGGTGCTGTGGTTATACGACGCCAGGC